ATGGTTGTTAATTTAAATAAATTATATATTTTGAATTATAATTATTAATAAAAATATTTAAATAAAATTTATAGTTTTTTTATTTGTGAATTTAATATGTTTAAACTTTTAGTATTATAATATTTTTGAAAAATGTAAAAAAATTTATGGCTAAATAATTAATTATTAAAACATTTTGAAATTATACAAAAAAAATTTAAGTCTAAGTTAAAGCACTTTTAATTTGATTGAATGAATAAACTTAAACTTATTTTAATATTTGCGAGTTTAAGCATAAACTCAAGTATTTTGAATTTTATAAATACTCAAGTTTAAATTTTTAAAGTAAATTTAAATACAAATATCTACTTATTTGATTAAACTCAATTCATTAACAACTCTAAATAAAAAGATATAAGTTCAAATCACATAAAAAAATGATAGAGCATTATATTTTGTGCAACCCAAAAGATCAATATATATGCCCTTTGTCTTGAACTTGAATACTGATTATGCTAGGCAAGCAGGTAAAACGACTTGCTTGTTGAACTTTGGGGCATTAAAGATAGCTCTGGTATTGTTGTTAACCGGGATTTTTAATCTTATTCTGGAAATTGATTCAAAAATTGCTGAGATATTACTTGAGTCTGCTAATTCTTACTCTCACTCACTTGGGGTGTTAATTAACAATTGCAGGTTGCTCATGAGGAGGATTACTGATCTTCGTGTTCTCTTATATTTACCAGGAGGTTTAGTGCGGCCACTGATTTTCTAGCCCAAACAAGGAGCTAAATCTATTTTGAATCATGTTGTATTCGATAAGAGTCCTCGTGTATGTTCTCTTTGTGATTGTATTAGAACGGATGTTCCTCATATTATTGTAGCAGCTTAATATCATCTATATATTCTCTATTTACTACTAAAAAAGTCCTCAAATACATATGATAATTATAATTATTATAAGTTACTTCATAAAGCTCAAAAAGGACATCTTAATAGGCAAGAACATAAAATTTTAAATTAAAGATTTTATATTAAATTTTGTGACAGCTAAACATGATTAGAAATGAAGGGTTATCTCTATTTTTTATTCTTTATATTCTAGAATAATAGGTTTTTTTTATTTAGGTTCTTTTCAGATTAATTTTTTTAATATTTTAGGAAGAAAAATATTTTTTTTACTTCAATTTTATTGTTATCACTTAACTTTAATTACTCTTCCTCTCATAAATTGTCTTCGTCTATCTTTTGTCCTTTTTTTAAGGTAGCATTGGGAAAAATATGAATTATCCTAAAAATTTTAATATGAAGATAAAATAAAAAAATTACATTTATTTTGTTAAAGAGGGACTCACACATTATGCGTTAAAAAGAGAGAGAGTAAAATATTATGAAGGCCGATTGTTAGTGTTGAGGCCCTATCTCAATTGAGGCCCATGTTCTATAATGTTCAATCTTTTGACCCAAAGTTTTTCAAATTAAACTCAACTTAGTAAGTTGTAAGCCTGCACTTTACTAGCCCAAAGTATATATATAGTTCTAACTTATAACAACCACTAAACCTAGAAGAGAGACCAAAACCTTTTGGGCTCAACTTAGCCCAGCACTTGTCTCACATTTGCAACAGGTATATATGGATTATCGAAGGTAGAACGACTTTAGGGTTTGAGGGCACGCCTCTGGCAGAGCAGAGAGAAGAAAGCCGTCAAGCAACCTCAGCCCCGTCAAGCAACCTCAGCCGAAAATGGTGAGCCTCGTCTCGTCTTTCCTTCCTTCCTTCCTTCCTTCTTCTATTCGCGCATCTGATAATTTTCTGAACATCCCTAACGCATGTCTCTCCGATACCAAATCGTTGTTTGTTTTTTTCTATCTTTACCTTTCTCTTCATGGTTCTTAGATCTCTGTATTTGATGTTCTCCATCTGTTTTCAGCTCTCGAAATCTTACCTTGCATTTGTATAATGGAGATTTAGTATGGCTGATTAGCTGAGTTCGAGTTAGGGTTTTTAAATCGGAAGAGGAAGATATGAACTAGGATAGTGAGTAATCTTGTTTATGGTATGTTATATTCAAGAATGTTTGAAGTTGAAATTAGTTAATTGAAATTTGAGGAAAAGTTTGAATTTTTGTATATGATTTTAATCTTTTATAACTATGCAAAAATAGGTTGGTATGGCTGTGTGCATTTTTAACTTCTTCTTCTTAATGAATGATAGTATTTCGGTGGTTAATGTTTCTAGTTTGATTAGTTAGTTGCATAAATTTTGTTTGTTTGATGCGTGTTCTGCTTCAGTTGTCGAGTCTCTGTAGATTTTAATGTTGTATATTCTGATGTGCAGCCTAAGCAAATCCACGAGATCAAGGACTTCCTTCTCACTGCCAGAAGGAAAGATGCACGCTATGTGAAAATTAAGAGGAACAGAGATATGATCAAGTTCAAGGTCCGCTGCTCCAAGTACCTTTACACTCTCTGTGTCTCCGACCCAGAGAAGGCTGATAAGTTGAAGCAGTCCCTCCCACCAGGTATAAATCTTGGGGTAAACATCATTGTTGGTTTTGATTAATGGTTGTTGTTCTCTTCGGCCAGTTGATTGTTGATAACATTTCTCTTCGTTTCATGTTTGCAGGTTTGCCAGCTCGAGAACCATGAAAGTCAATGGCTGTCCTCAAGAGTTTATTTATTTTGTGCAATTTTGCATCTATTGAAATGTTATGTAATGGATATTGAT